GCCGGCTCATTTTTTTTATCTGAGCTTCAGCAGTGCTCGCACACTTTCACCCGCTCAAGAAAGTTACGATGCGCGGCGGCATGCTATTAATTAAGATCGACTTGTTATGTAACATGGCAGCCACAGTGTCTGCCAGTGAAAATCCGCCGAAAGTGTACATACGATTGCTATTGCAATAACAACGCAGTTTTTTACCGCTAAATAAGTGTATCGGTTAGCTCTGCCTTCAGTTTCTCTTCTGTTTGATTTGTGCTTTATTTTCCAAATTTTCATACTGAGCCTCTATATAATGAAATTCTTTTTATGACGAATTTTTTCGAAAATTCGTTACTTTCATTATATACAGGTTTAACTATATTTCCAGGGTCATGTGGGTATCGTTCATTTTAACTCTTGTTACCATGCCTATTCAAATTGATCACCAGTGATTGATGCTTTGTATCGCTGATTTTAGCATTTTAAAATTGTTTCTCGTGCATTCTGCACTTTCTAGTAGTTAATCCAGCCACTCAACTTTCAGAATCAATTTGAATTTGCTCGTTTGGGCAATATAGTGATTTTGATGGACTTCTGCACAAATCAATGTGCGTGTATAGTTGGAAATGTGCACTAGGCTGGCGAACTTGACAGAAGTGTGTTCCCCTCATGATTATGCTAGAGTAACATCGAAGTTTTGTAACGAAAGGAACCTTTGCAAGCCAAATATTGAAATAAAGTGTCAGCTTCGCAATTTGATAAGGTTTAGCAATAATAATTGCCAGAAATTTATGCCAGCTATTCAATAGATAGCTGTGGCTAGGAGTCAGAGAAAAATTATTCTACAAAAAATATTTTTGATGCTCCGCCGCTTGTTTAAAGTGTCGAGATGGCCTTCTCAGCCAGTTTCCAGCAGCTTCGGTTTTGCTTGTATTATTCTATCAGACACAAAGTCGCATATAGTGTCACTAGTCGCTCCTGTGGCATAGTCGTCATGTGTGTACGGGTGCGCACCAGCGCTGCAAAACTCATGCGCTGCTCAAAACTGTCTTGCAATTCTACCTGAATTGAGTGAGGACGACCTTAGAGTTCGAGGATGACACCACTGCTGCTTCAAGTTTTATGGAGACGATGTTTTCCATCGTCCTGAGACATCCACAGCCGCTAATGTGTTTGTTACGGCCTCAAGTTGTCTCCTTTACCTCAAGTGCGCAGCTGATGACCATTGTGCCCAATCTTATGGCTACTCTGGATACATGGGAGGGGCGTGTGCGCTTCGCTGGGGTGTGGTGTGCTGGTGCCGACTGCAGAGCTTCTCCTAATCACAAGAAAGTTCCCAAAACACACCTTAGCCCAAACTATGGAACAGCGTGAAATATTTTAGAACTGCACGCGATATCGTTACTTTTGTAATATCATGTGCAAAATGTTAAGAAATATGCTTGGATGCATATATAGGAATGCCAACCTAAGCAGAGTGAGGTGGCTCATGGAAAGAGGTGATGCTAGACAAAATTGCAAAGTTCATTAGACATCTGATTCATAGAGGGATTATTCACGTCATGGGCATCCATATATATTGATACACCTGGAGGCTCTTATCCAAAGAAAACAAAAAATTTAGTGAGAAATGTGTACAAGTTCACTTGTGTCTCATGAAAAGCCAGGCAATGTTTCACCGCATGGCTCGAGCAACGAAGCAGCACCTTGGTTGTGATTTTCTTTGTCTATATGAATAGCAACGTTTATGTACAACATTTATTATTTATTTACTATTCTTGGGTAATTTTTCTTCAAAGTGTATGTTCTGATTTTTCTTTATTTTCAATATTTTTGTACATATAGAGTTTTTATTGCACTTTTTACCAGCTGGCAACCGAAAATTACGCACATTTCACATTTTTATTCATTCCAAATAATTTTGTTGCTCTACAACAAATATTTCTTGGAAAGAGCATTTTATTGTACAAAATTTAGCATGCTGCGATACGTGCTGGAGTACTTTTCGAACTGGCAAAAACGATCTTTCCCAGACATATGACAAATAACCAATTTTGTGCAGTAGCCTAAGAGTTAAGCGAAAATTCGCTTTAAGTTGGGCCGTTACATATGGGTTCAACTGTAAAACTAGGAGATAGATCTAGGCTTAAGGCTGCACTCGCATGAATTTCATGATGTACAAGTCAGTATAGCTTCCGTGGTTCATTGATGTTGTGGTAATATTGTTGTCTGCATTGTATTTTGTTCCATTTTTGTCCTTTTTTTTTTTTGGGGCCGTGGTATAACTCAGTGGCATGAGGTCAAAGGGCAGCTCATACTTTGTTCTCTTTAGTGCTTCGTTAAAATTTGAGGCCTTGGTATTACAGAATTGGATATAAGCAAAGAATAGGTACAGTAGAACATGGTTATATCGAACCCACATATATCGAATTTTCGGGTATATTGAACTCGTAACTTATGTTCTTGGAATTCCTTTGTAAAAGCATAGAAATTCGCACATTTATATCGAATGTTATTTTTACCCACTTTGGGATATATCGAACGCCGTGCGAGCTGGATGTTGCACTTCGACACTCGCTGCGCCCTGCGATCTTCGCGGCAGTGTGGCTTTGCGCGCAAGTTGGAAAGCCACTTTGGCACTTGCACACCCAGCGACCTCGGCGCGGCACCACGCCACCATGAAAACCCGAAGCGCTAGAAAAGAGGTAAGGACGAGAGAGCTCGGACTGCACAATCTCTAACTTGCGGAATGGCTTTTTTTCTGCATTTCTCTCTCTCATTTTTTCTCTGCATACCCGTCAGCTTGGAGAACACGAACAAAGGAGCCGGCGTCCTCCTCCTTTCGCCTTTTATTTTTTTTTGCTGTTTTGCGAGGTTTGATCAGTCAACAACAGCTCGTGCCTTTTGCTGTTGCCCTCGCACAAAGTAGTATGGGTGTTATTTGCCTCGCAGGTGGCCATCACCTCACGAGGACTTTGCTTCTCTTGTCGCGTCGCCTACATGCCATCGTAAGTACAGCACTTCCCTTTTGCGTGCATCGTGTGCAAAGCCACTGCGGACTCCTTGAATTGTCAACTTCTCGAGTAGCTATGGCTAGCATCAAGAAGCGCAAGACCCTTGACTGCGCTAAAGTTGAAGGCTATTCAGCGTGTTGAGGCAAGCGAGAAATCTTCTACCGTCACGGGTGATTTCGGGAATCGCGATATCACGAAGCACTCCGAGTACCTCGTTTACGAACAAAGCAGATACCAAGGCAAAAGCGGCAGAGCAGGGAACGTCAGGAGCCTGTCATGTGCACGCTTCTGCCCACTGGAATGTAGAAAAGGCACTCTTTACCTGGTTTTTAGAACAGTGTGTAGAACATTCTGGTGGATGGCCCGATGGGGTTTGCCAATACCAAATGGTTTGCCGCTATACTCGGTGAAACAACTTCGCCGGCACGACTGGGTGACTTGACTGATTTAAGCAGTGCTACTTCATCTTTGGCAAAACCGATTCTCATGAAAGCGAAGCTGTCAGCAGCCAGGACATTCAGCTGTGGATGACAAAAAAGTGACTGAAATCTTCATTGCCTGGCGAGACGTGAAGACGAACACAGTGGTCAACTCCTTCCGCCAGGCAGGCTTCAAGATGGCGTAACTTGCTGAAATCGGTGAAGATGACCACGATGAGCGCATTGAAGACTCATTTCGCGAGTTATCGTCCCGCTTTCCGGCTGCAGTTCCACACAAGTGTCTGTGGATGACTTCGTAGAAGCGGACTGCAATGTCTAGGCTGTCCAGGCAATGTCAAAGCTCTAACGAGGATGTAGTAGCTGCAGTCGAAGAAACCCGGGATGCCTAGGCCGACAGCTCAAGTAATGAGGAAGATCATCCGAGCGAGGCACTGGCTACACACGCCTACTTCGCCGCTGCAGTAGCAGAAGCGTTCGGCGTCATTTGCCGTTGTATTGGCGACATGGAGGGAACCGGACTGTCACACCTGGACAGCCTTGATAAGATCGCGACTAGCATCTTCAACTTCATTTCAAAAATGAAGAAGCAATCCAAGGTTAGCGTTTTTTTTTTCATGCAAAGAAATTATTCTGTTGCGACGTGCATGTGGAATTAGTTGTCATTCTTAATGCGCCAATTGCATATGATGATCTACTACAGGTAAGCTCTCTGTGGTATGTAACGTTGTGCATACAGTTGGACGGAGACAGGAAGTAAGAAAGTGTAAAGAGAAAGAGTGCTCTTTCCGTTTACGCTTCGTTACTTTCTGTGTTTATCCAATTGTATGCACGTTACATACAACAGACATGCACCAACTCGCCCAGCAAAAAATTTTTAAAGGTAAGCTCTCGGGGCCTCTATTTTTTTATATCGAATTTTTTATATATTGAACTAATTCGCGATCCCCTTTGAGTTCGATATATCCGTGTTCGACTGTATAAGGAAGTAAATGAAACTCTTGTTGAATATTTAATACAGATGCATGTGTCCAAAAACTGAATTGAACGATGTAAAACTGACTTGTGAGAGAAATAACGGCCAAGTATTGTATTCAAAGAGAAAGTTTCGTCACGTTGAGACCGAGTGAAGTCACACCTTACCTGAAGTGAGCATGAGGGAAGGCTCATTGTGGTGTTGCACAGGCTGGGGCAGCTAGGCATCGTCATGGTGATGTTCAAGCTCGCAAGTCGAGCGATTTCTTTTGGGTGTGGAATGGCTAGTGTGTTAGTCTCTCAATATGCCTCCTCATTGGTTGGACATGATAAATGAAACTATTGAATTGACTGCAAGGAATGCCATCTATGAGGCATCAATGTGTATTTGTACTGGAGCATCTATAGAAACTATGCAGTCACGTTTGTATATAGGTGAAGCATGTACTATTTCAAGCAGGTTCTTTTCAGGGTCGATAGATTGTTTATTGGTGCATAATGCTTAATGTGCCTTTTTTTTGTGTGCACCCTCTTGTTCCTCCAATGTTTTTCACTTCTATTGCAGCTGTTGTACATGATAGCAATGTTCTCTTCCCAGGCTATCGACATGTGTCTCTGCGGACAGAAGGGAACTTTCCCATGTCACTGGCCATGCTGTTCATCTGCATCGAACTCAAGATCTACGTTCCAGATGGCTTGGGAGGTTAGATAATTATGTTCATGACCATGTTTTTGCATGTTTTAGTGTCTCAAGGCTTTTCTTGTTAGCATTGCACTTGAACCTACTAGTTAAGTAGGGCTCGGTGTTTTCGGTTGTATCTGAAAAATATGCGATAAACATTTGCCGGTAAAATATTTGACAACTCTGATTTATCTGATAAGCTCCAATTTCAAGGGGCAATATGATCTGGTGCCATTTTTTATCGAAAGGGCGAGTTCTAAGCGCTCATTTGTACAACTTCTGGTTTGACAGATTTTAAGTTTTCCAAGTGTCGACTATACCTCAGAGACTGCACCCATCATACATTTCGTAATGGCATTGTCGCGCACGAAGCAAGGGACATCAAAAGGTCAACGAATTTAGGCACACCAGCGACGACACTAGGGCGTGCCAGGTGACAGCGGTGTTAGAGCGCCACTCAACATCGAATATATGGGCCCAAGGCTTCGCTGCCAGCTGCTGCCATTGCCCCTCTCAAGAGATTTCATTGGAGTGGATTGCAGCCAGAATGAGTACTGAGTGTGTGTGATTTTTCTGCCCTCTCTCGCACGCATGTGCAAGAGAGAACAGTTTCAAACAGCCACGACAGTGAGAGTCAAGTGTCAAAAGAACTGCTCATGAAAACTTTCACTTGGTCACATGATGCATTTTTGTGGCGTTTCAAGTGAAATTTCACATTAGCAAAGTTGCAAGAAAACGAAAGCTTGTTGGCGACTACTTGAAAGAGTGCTGCAATTTTGGAAAAACGACGTCCTCCGAAAGAGTCATTGTTACAAGGTTTTTATCGTGTGACTGTTAGCATTACCAAAAGCAAGGGTGCCGTGAGAATTGTGGAGCATTTATGTACAATAGCAGCGCCATGTCCATATGGAGGAGTGTTACATACACACAGGTGAGATCTTGCTGAAGTGTTGGTGCTTTGAAATAATGGCTGCGTGAGAGTAAATATAGCATGCTACGCGCACGCACAGTTTCATAAGGTTTTGTCATGTGCGCTTACTTTTATGCCAGCGTCTAAACAGAGCTTTCATGGCTGGAATCCAATTTGTTCACATCGTATAGTCATTCCTATATCACAGGCAACTCGTCACAGCAAATTTCACTGAAAGAATTCATCACTTTGTCCCACTTAAAGAAAGAATATGCAAACAACATTCTGCACCAGTTCTGCCGTGCATTCTCATGCTGGGAGTTCACTGCACCAGGCTGATGGACCTCTTGGCAGCCTCTTTCAAAGCAAGTGTCTGGCAGCACGCACGATGCCAGGTAGTGATCAACTATATCAGAAATACCTATATGAGGTCAATGACAAAGATTTTGCGACGATAAGCTCTTTGATGAAATACGAGCCCATTTTCCTCATCATCGATGAGTCACCAGAACTTCGTGAATGTCCAACCATGGTGGTGCTTGCAACATTCTACAGTGACAAGCTTCCTGGATGAAAAACCCTTGTGATCAACATGCAAATAGTGCAGCAGCGTTATGCAGTATCTATTGGCATGTTGATACAAGCCGCCCTTGAGAAGGTTGGGCAGACCTTACGTGACGTAGCTGTATTCTGTTCCTACTCACTTCCTACATGCAGAAGCTTCACAAGGACTTGCAATCCTCCAACCTCGAAATCAAGGTGCTTCACTTCAAAGATCTGGAAGGAGGAATTAGACGAGCGCGTTCAGTGTAGAGCACTTTCCCCCATGTTGAAATCATAGCAGGAGCTGCGCCGTAACTTTGGTCTTGTGCGCTTAGCCATGGTTATGACCATCAAATCACTGAAAACCATGTCTGTCAAGGTGGTTCTAAACCCGACGAGCTCGTTCAACGTAGTTCACTTTCCCACCATGCCGGAATCGTCACGGGAGCTGCGCTGTAAGTTGGTTCTTGTGTGCTTGGTAATGGTTATGACCATCAAGTCGCTGAACACCATATGTTTGTCGAGGCGGTTCTCTTTTTATGAAGCTCTAGCAGATATTTTGGACTACTGACGTGCGATTTTGTCTTTGTTGAGAAGGGACAAAGCCAAGTGGATGAAGTGTGAGAAGCTCAGGAGCCTTGTTTCATCGCCTGACACTGTAGACGACTTGCTCGTTAAGATGAGGTATCTGAAGACGGATGCCTATGCTGTGGTCTCAATCATTACGGATCTTGAAGCAGAGAGTGCCCTAGTACACCAAGTTTATCCCGTACTAGAGGTTCATTTGCACGCACTCATCAGTCAATGGCGGAATCCAACGGAGGTCATTGCATCAGACGTCACGAGTCTGTTGGACCTCCTTCATGCAAATCAACACTTAACGACTGTCGCAGACTTTGAGGGATACTACGCGGCTGTCACCGAAAAGTGGAAACAAACACCTTGAAGAAACATGTGCGATCAACTCTAGTACAACAAAACATTTTTCTAGTGCTGTGTTCAAACTGTGAACCCAAATGCAAGGCAACAGCTTCCCTGTGCGTTCGAAACCTATGTGTCTAGTTTCCAATATAGTGCTTCTTGAAACTGATGACCTGAGTCAGCTCCTGAGGCATTTTTTAAACTGTCAGTGCTAATACGTAACACTGTTGAACCCGTGACATTTTGGAGACATAACAATGTGGAGTGGCCAGTGCTTCCGTGCTGCATCTTCTCGTGCTTCCTGTTTCTAGCACTCACGTTGAAAAGGTATTTTCAAAGCTGAGAGTTCTCAGTAGAAGGGAGTGTGCTTCGAACACTGACAGCAGTCTCGCAAAGTATGCTTGCATGTTCTAGCTAAGGTTGTTATATGCAAAATAAAGGTACAGTGTCAATTTTTATGAAAGGAAACATGGCAGCAGGTGGCCTGCGTGTTCTGGCTGCTGCTGGCAGCGCGCTCGTGCGGCAGCGAGAGCAATCACTGTCTCTTTTCGCGTCATCCAGCAAAAGAACCATTCGTTGCTGATATGGAACCAGGGGCGAAATTGCGACCCCCTCTCTCTTCGAGGCAATCACGCAAGAGCCGGTAAACACCTTGGAGGGGGAGGGGTTGCAATCTTGCCATTCTGTATCGGCGATGAATGGTTGTTTTGCTCGCCGTGAGATGATGCGAAAAGAGACTGTGGTTTCTCTTGCTCCCGCTTGGACATGCAGCCAGCAGCCGCCGGAGCACGCATGCCACGCATCGTCATGTTCCCTTTCATGAAAATTGACACTGTAAATGTTCTGTGTTCAAGTATTTAGCTTTTGCACATATTTTTTTCGTCTGTTCAAACGTTTTACAAAAAAATAACATGGGTTTCGTGTGTTTTGATATTGCAGTATATAGATATGAATTGATCTAAAATTTTTGGGTTTTGAGAATAATGCTAAACTCGGAATTTCGGAAAGTTGAGGATTTATGGGAAATACCATATTTACTCGCATAATAGGTGCACTTGCATAAAGGTGTGGTCGCGAGAAATCGGATCTTTTCATTTTGGCGCATAAAAGGTGCACCCCAATCGGGGTTATTATCAGTAGTTCTGTACCATATTTATGTTGTTGCAGTTTCACGCCCTCTAATAATAACTGAAATGAGAAAAAAGAAGAGACTGCGGCAGCGCTGCGCCAGGTGCGCGGGCTCCCCGAGTGAGGAAGAAGGGCGGGTGTTATGGCTGTGCAATCATTGCAACGGCGCCAGCGTGGCTCCGGTCGCTAGCTGGCCACACCCGCTTCGCATGGAACATGCGATCGCGTTTTCGTCAAATGCGCATTGAGTTTCCTGTCGAGAAAAGCGTCGTTGTTCTCGCGGTTGACTTCTTCGCGATCCTATAAGCTTTTAGGCTTTCCAACGCGACCTTTGCGGCCACTACCCCGACTAGCAAAAGCTCGGCAAACTTTTGTCGCCGTTCATTTCCCGGTCGTGAACCTAAACGTCTTATCATGCACGCTTGTCTTAAATTAGCAATTTTTTTGACGCTCAGTCTGTGTAATCTTGTACAAACTTCCCGCGACAACATGCCGAGCCATGAGTTAGGCCTAATGAATGTTGGTTGCTTTTTCGTGGCGGTAGGGGGGTGACAAAAGTTGTGGTTTTGTACGGAATTAATGTACACTCAAACCTCGTTATAATGAAGTTAAGGGAAGCGACAGTTGTTTCGTTATATCCATTATTTCGTTATATAGATTATAACAGTTCGTGGTAATGTATGCTCAGATGGGTGCACACCTATAAGCAAGCAAACAAGGAAACCACCTTGCGGCCCGATGTACCACTACACGATCACGCGTGCCACAGAAAATAAACTCAGTGGAATCTCGTTAATTCGAACTCACGCTGAGGTCGCGTCAAAGCTATGTGTATTCCAACGTATGAAAACGCCCTGTAATTCGAACGCGCAATCACTTACAACGGTTAATTTCAACGTACCATGCTCCGAAAAGCCTTTCCAGCACCATGCCCAATCCCGCGGCGGCACCTATCAATGCTACTCGCGAAGAAAGAAAAGAAAAGAAAAGACTGTGGCGGATTGTTTGCTCTCTCTCAAATGCCGATCTGCGACGCGCCTGTGCCACACTTCTCCTTTTCCGTCTCATGCACGTAGAGGCCCTTCTCCTTTCAAGGCCGCGCGCGGAGAAGAAAAAGAAAAGAAGGCTGTCCCGTAGAGTCCTACTTTCTTGGTGCAGGGGGTAGCAGCCATGGTAGCAGCGGTGACGCAGTCATTGTCGTCGTGACAGGGAAATCACTTTGGACCGCGGCACCGCTTCTCGGTCATGTGACCCGCTGAGTGCTTTCTAAACCCTCTCTGCGGACGATAGTTATAGCACGAGAACAGTACGACAACAAAGAGACAAGAAGAACACGAGCACTATGTCCTTCTTGTCTATTTTTCGTCGTTCTGTTCTCACACTATAACTATCGTCATGTCATACCAACTAGCCCAAACTGCCACACCTCTCTGCTGGCTGTGTGAAGAGTACGGCTTTCTCGACCATGCGGGATGCGGCTGAAAGGTCGGCGCGGGAGTTTTGAAAGAGTCGCGCCAAA